AACACAGCAAATCTGATGCACTTTTTCATGTTTAACTTGCGCTGCTCCAAAGTAAGGGTGTAACTTCTCATGTTCTTGAATCTTGATCAGCGATACATCTCATAGAAAGAATACTACAGCTCCATCTGATGTAAATGTGCAAAGGCGATTGAACGGAACCCTAAACCCTTTATCATGTTCTTGATCAGCGAATACGGTTCAGATGAGCAAAGGGCTCAGGGTTAGCTTTGGGAGCTGGTTTAGCAACCTCGGGGACCCCAAAAACGTTCCAGAATCTGAGTGTTTCATCACCAGCTGCTGATGCGACCGTGCAACCATCGGGGCTCTGCAGTTAATTCACAATATAAAAGGATGAGGATTTAGTGTTCTGTCAAAAAAAAAAAAAAAAAAGGAAAAAGCTTATATATACTCAATTCAATTATAAGGTTGTCAGATTCATTACCTGAGCCATATAAAGAACTCTAGAAGTATGGCCTGTGAGCTCGGCAATTTTAGCCATCGAAGGGTATTTCCAAAGAGTGAGCTGATTCTGAGTAAACCCATGTGAGCTAAGCAGTTCCCTTTCATTCTTGTTCCACAGCAAAGCACAGACCTGAGAGCCAGTGTCAACTGAGTTCAAGCATGCACCTGTGTGAGTGTTCCAAAACTTTATGCACCTGTCACCCCCGCCTCCACCAGAAGCCAATAAATTGCCCTGGAAAGGACACCAAGCAAGGGCTTTCACTGCAGCTGTGTGATCTTCGAGCCTGTGAAGCCACTGAGTTGGTGAATTTGAAGATGCCACCGATCTGTCCCATATATGGAGAAGGTTGTCGTTTCCTCCGCTAGCCAATTGCTGGCCTGAGGCTGACCACTTCAGTCCACAAACCTCTTGCTCATGTCCTCTGTATGTCTCAACAATGTGTGATCTAATTCTTACATCATTGTTAACAATGCAACCGTCCATCCCTCCAGTTGTAAGAATGTGGTTGTTCCACGCCAAAGAGCCTACTCGTGATCTGTGGCAACCTCTCAAAGTTCTCAGCTACAGAAAGAAACAACATAACAAGAAATGTTAGCAAAATTGGCCACAATGTAATATAAAATGGAAGAGGAATATGATGACCGGTCCAAGGATAAATGACAACCAAACAAACCAACCTGCTTTTTAGCAACCGAATCCCATAACTGTACTTCAGAATTGTCCAGTCCAATGGCAATGTGGCGCCCATCAGGAGCCCAACTGACGCTGGTAACAAATCCAATTCCATCCTCAAATGTGACCAGTTCTGAAGTAGAACCATTGGTAGCATCCCACAAATAAACTGTGCTTGCAAGAGCTATTGCGAGGACATTGCAGCTTCCCCAATCCAACAAATTGAGGTAGTAATCATCCACAAGGTCTGGAGCATCCAATGTCTTCTCTGAAGTCTGCACATTGCATCAAATCATCAGTAGTCAGTTAAACACCACAACAAGTTTTCAGAATAACCAATCAAGTTTAAGCAAATATATTCATGAGATCAGAATAAAAAAAATATACGCACTTGAGGAATGTGCCTTCGGGGCTTTGCTGGTTTATCCTGTTGCAGAGAAGAGAACTCGCGTGGGAACATCTCAACAGGGGCAGGTGGCTTGTTCTTGAATGCAAGAATTCTACTCCGGTTCATGTTCATTGCCTCTGCCAACTGCTTCCGATAGGCCTCTCTGGATGGGGAAGAGGCGGCTGGGTTTTCCTTACCTTTCCTACCTTCAGTTAACATCATGTTTGCGAAATCAAAATCCATTGCTGACCTGTTTGGTATGAACCTGTCCAACTGGTAATTACAAACGAGGCACATCAGAACGTCGGTCAATTATAGAACCCCTAATTCCAGAAATTGGTTCGACATCAGATCCCAAAACTAGATGAACTCCAAACCCAAACCATGTAACAAAAATTTTATTTTAAGGATGACACCAGAATAATTCAATCGAAGAATAAAACTTGTTTTTAATCAAATTTCAAAATAAATCTAACATCAGATCCCAAAAATGGGTAAAACCCCAAACCCCTAACAGTACAAACATAACATAATAAGAAAAACTAATGAAAAGGGCTTGAAAACTTTGAGTTTTAACGATAAGGACAAAATAAAGGCTAAACTGAATAATACCAGGAATCCAGGACTGACTTTTTAATGTGTAAATATGATTTTTTGTTAAAATGAAAAATACTAGGAGTTTTTTGTTAAAGTTTCCTAATTAATAAGGTAACGAGATTCAGAAAGAAATTCCAACCAATAAAAACAATCCAAATCAAAGTACAACAGATCCCTAATTTCCAAAATCAAATTGATTGAACCCGAATAAAGAACACAAAACCTAATTTCCGAAATCAAATCGATTAAACTCTAATAAAGATCTATCGGTATAAAATTAACAACTCACATTTTCGCGAGAATTCTTTCTCTGAAGAAACTGCTCTTGAAGAGGGCACCTAGACTGCGACTTCAAGTTAGATGGAGAACTCATTGATCCTGCATCCATTATGTAAAAATACCCACACAAAAAAAAATATGTATATATGCGAAAAATTGAAAGAGAAAATTTTAAAAATCCGGCAAAAAGATTAGTTAGTTTGCAAATCAATCCTGCAAAAAAGGGTTAGGTTAAATAAATCCCAAATCGAAAAATTGGACGGCGCGTGATGTGATTGATCTCTTAGCGTTGCAAAGAATTGCAATTTCACAGAGAGAGAGAGAGAGAGAGAGAGAGAGAGAGAGAGAGAGAGTAACTGATTAATGCTGGGTTGAATCAGTGGGTTCATATAGCGATGAGATGAAGGGGATGGCTTTAGGGTTCAGGAAAATGAGGATCTGTTTTCAGAAGAGTGTCTCGGGCTATGGAAAACTTGCAACGGCTATGTATCCCAGAGAGCCGTTGAAAACTTGTATGACATAAATGCCCCTGCGTTTGCTCAGATACACCACACCGTTTGAGTTGGAACTCCTAATCTAGTAATTTGAATTTGAATTTTAATGAAAAATCCCATATCACAATTATTATATATATCAACAATTATTCAATTATGTCTCATTCATTGAAAAATCCCTTTTCTTTATTTTTACATATGGCCAACACGAGGGATTGTCGGTAGCGAGACTCGAACCTAAGTCTTGTTCTAGCGAAGAGAACGATTGTTACCAACTCAACCAACTCTCGTTGACATTTATTTATTATTTTGTAAAGAAAGAGAGTACATGAATCAAAATATCTCATTTGCTCCATTTCTGCCAAAATCAATGGAAAAATGAGAGCTTATGAATCAAGACAGTCCATCCATGTAAAATTCGAAAATCTTAAATAATCCATCCAGCTAGTATTCATCCACATTGGGTTGGCGGGATCCGAGGTTGCCCCATAGCTACTGCCCCTCGATTAGGGATAGAACCGCCCCCTGACATATCACTGTTCTTTGCTGAGTTTAAGTTGACATAGTAGACAATTCCGAGTACCACACTTGCAAATGACAAAAGGGCACCTCCAGCAAACACTCCGGGCTTCACAACGTAACAGTAGCAGCTGCCAGAGTATGTGATTTCTACACCATGCCGGTGAGTGAGTGCGGCACCAGCCAGCAGCAGAAAAAACGCTATAACGAATGCGATCCTGCCCAGTGGAGATCAGAGTAAAACACAGGCATTGTTAATCCAGTTGAAACAGATAGACAAGTTGCAGAACCCAGCTCGAACTGTACAGACAGACAAGTTTCCTTTTTCTTGCAAAAGGATAAAAAAAATGCAATGTTCTAACCAGAGAAACAACGGCAGCAACAAGAATAGTAAGAAACTGGCAAGATAACAAAACTATGAACTCAACAATCTTGTTCAACATTTCCGCCTGTCAGATGGCCAAACCATCCAAGCCAGCCATGCTCTTGGATTAGCTGCCTTAGTTATTTTCCTCATGAATTATACAACAAGTTGTCGTTGAGAATTACCAGGAAAAAACAATGAGTAACTGTGCTACCGTCGAGTTAGAGTTGGAAGGCTGGGGCCTCCTTTGGCAACAACCTGCACCTGGTTGAAACATTTATAATTATTTGAGCTAACATAAGAGCCACTGCAGCAGTTACACCAAGTCCAGAAGCCGGAGTGTCGGGGTATTCACATTCAGTAGTCGGGTCAAAATGAACCTGAGATCGCTGCGGGTAGAAAATAAAAGTAACAGAACATTTCAGCATCGGTTCCACAATTCAAACTGAAGGCCAACAAAACTGGAAAAAATCCGGCGAAGAAAAAATAAACTAAACTTAGCATGAAGAGGCACTTGCTTAAAAGTTCTCAACAGTCACTCCATCCTGAAAGCTAATAACTTGTGAGCATATTCTAATAACTTTCCAATGGGGAGGAAGGCGTAAATCTTTCAGTCTCTCCGTTAACCTCCATCGCAGATTCTTACACAAACACAACTCTTTTGATATCATTATGCGCAACGAAAGAAAGACAAAAGAAATGAAAGGATAGAACCTAAAAATGATCGTTCTGAGTTCAGATTCGAGATTTTAATCGCATTTATAAACATTTAACACACTTACAAACAGCGTTTTAGTTTACTGAAAAAATAGGCAAATCTTCATTGACAAACTACACTAGTTAAAGCATTGAAATCAAACAAGATATTAAAGCTTCAAGCTTTGGAATTTGTACCCTTCAAGGATGAACAAAACCGAATAGCTAGCTTTTACCTCGATTCTTGTGCCCTCGGCGCCGAAACCTGCAGCCGCAGATAGCATCCCCAGGAGTCCCACAGCCCAGCAAACCGGAAGGACTTTTCGCTCCATCTCTGGCCTGTCAAGCACTTTTCTCTCCATATCTGGCTTCTGCGTTCAGCCAAAAGCAGCTTCCCCGTCACTCTTCTGTTTCTGGCTATTGGGCGTAGATTTTGGTGATTTGCCTGAAGAGAGGTTGTGCGTGAATTATGATGTCGGCCGAAAAAAGGCGGCAAAACAACTGGACAAGTAAAAAGGCGGCAAAACAGAAGAAAACAAAAGATTATAACTATAATTTTCATCGATTACAATTTACAAGGTTGTTTAGATACGTTAAAAGAGGACCAATATGAAATGTCGGCCAATAAAAAACCCATGTAAAATTCGTAAATTTTAAATAATCCATCCATCTGGCATTCAATCGGCATTCAATCCATGCGCATTGGGTTTCTTGGACAGTACGGTATGCGCAAAATTAAATACAACCATAAGAAATCTACTGACAAAACGAACACAGGGATTATATAGAAAACAACCCATTTCCTGGAATTCCAACCATTAGATCTTCAGAGACTGATCATAGGCTCATCCCATAAACTCTAGTGATGCATCTCCCGTATCATGTGAATTGCCGTCTCATATACGTATCTTCGTGGACAAATACTGGTTCTTGGGTCGTAGTACTCTGCGGTGGGATCTGGAGTTGTTGCCCCATAGCTATTGTCCCTTGAGTTGGCGCAGAACCGCCCCATGATGTATCACCGTTCTTTGCTGAATTTAAGATTACGTAGTAGACAATTCCGAGTACCACACATGCAAATGACAAAAGGGCACCTCCGGCAAACACTCCCGGTTTCACAACGTAACAGTAGTAGTTGCCAAAGTACATGCTTTCTACACCATGTCGGTCATTGAGTGCAGCACCGGTGAGCAGCAGAAGAAACGCTATAACAAATGTGAACCTGTACCAGTGTGGAGATTGGAGTAAAACACATGCATTGTTAATCCGGTTGAAACGGGTAGACAAATTGCTAAAGCCAACTCAAATCGTTCAAACAGACATGTTTCCTTTTTCTTGCGGGAAAAATAATGTGCATGTGCTTTCAAACCAAAAAAAGAAAACAGCAGCAACAAGAAAGGTAAGAAACTGGCAAGATAACAACACGATGAAATAACGAATCGTGCTTAGCATTTACACCTATCAGAGAGCCAAATAGTTCAAACCAATCATGCTTTTAGATTACCCGCCTTAGTCATTTTCCTCGTGAATGATACATCAAGTTGTAGTTGAGAATTACCAGGAAAAAACAAAGCAGAACAGAGCTACCGTCCAGTTAGAGTTGGAAGGATGCGGGCTCCTTTTGCAACAAATGCACCCGGTTGAAACATTTATAATTATGTGAGCTAACATAAGAGCCACTGCAGCAGTTACACCGAGTCCAAGAGCCGGACTCCGAGGGTATTCGCATTGAGTATTCGAGACAAACTGAACCTGAGAACCCTGCGGGTTAGAAATAAAAGTAACACAACATTCAGCATAAACAATGCCAACAAAACTGGAAAAAGCGGGAGAAGAAAACAAAAAAAATAAAACTTAGCATGAAGAGGCACTTGCTTAAATATTCTAAACAATCACTCCATACTGAAAGCTGACGACTTGTGAGCATATTCTAAACAGATTGAGGTCCATCGACAATAACTTCCAAATGGATAGGAAGGCATAAATCTTTCAGTCTCTCCGTTAACCCCCATCTCGGATTCTTGCACAAACGCAACTCTTTTGACATTACCGTTTAAAATGAGCAATTATCATTATGTGCAACAAAAGGACAAAAAAATGAAAGCATAGAACATAAAAATGACAGTTCCGAGTCCAGATTCGAGATTGTTAGCCGCATTGGTAAACATTTAACACACTTCCAAACCACATTTTAATTTACGGCAAACCTTCATTGACAAACTACACTAGTGAGTTTCCGCATGGTCATTTTGGACGCCCGAAAGTTAAAGCATTGAAATCAAGTAAAGAATTGAAATTTGGACGTTCAGCTACATCGAAAGTCTTCCCGAAAGGGAGAAATGTAGAAGTCAGCTAAGCTAAAAGCCATTTTATTGATTAAGCTAATCCAAATAGAAGGGCTGGGTCTGGCCCGTCTGAGGTACCAAATAACAATATAAAAGGTGCCTCAGATTTCGGAGTGGAACTTCGAACACGCACAGTGGAACTGTGGAAACAACAAAACTCCGTTTCGTCAAAGCAAATAAGAAATTAAAGCTTCAAGCTTTGGAATTTGCACCCTTCAAGGATGAACAAAACAGAATAGTTAGTAATAATATGAAATCCCTCTCCTACTATACTTAACTTCCCAACTTTTCCCAGCAACCAAACAGAAGGGCAGAGTATAACTAAGCAGAAAGCAAGCAAATATAGACGAGCCCATGTGAAGCAAAGAAGATCTAAGCAAAACCCAGATGAGCTTTTTAGCTTTTACCTTGATTCTCGTGCCCTCGGCGCCGAAACCTGTAGCCGCAGATAGCAGCCCCAGGAGTCCCACAGCGCAGCAAACCAGAAGCACTTTTCTCTCCATCTCTGGCTTCTGGGTTCAGCCAAAAGTAGCTTTCCACTCTTCTTTTTCTGGCTATTGGGCGTAAGATTTTGGTGACTTGCCTTAAGTGTTAAGAAGAAGAAGAGAGGACGTAAAGTTTGTGGTGCGTGAATTATGATGTCCTATATAGGGAAGCTCAGGGGGTCAGCACCGAACCGGACAAGTAAAAAGCGCCAAAAAAGAGGTAAACAAAAGGCTAAAAATGTAATTTTACTCTATTGCAATTTACAATGTCGTTTAAATACGGAAAAGAGGCCCAATGTGAAATGTCGGCCCAAGAAAAGGCCCAAATCCAAAAAATACATTAGTAAACCAGACCGACACGTTTATTTTTATCTCTCACACACTTCTGCTAATTTTTTTGCGATTAATCTTCTTCAATTCATGTGATCACGGCTGAATATTAAGAAAGGTATGTGAGAAGTAAAAATAAATATGTGAATAGCATTACCATTGTTTCAGTCATGACACGTTCGATTTTCAATTTTCGATTTTCCCCTTAAAACCGAACCGGTTTAGCTATATAATTTTGTTTTTGTTTTCAAACATTTTTTTTTTTTAATGTCTCGTCATCTCTTCACCCTTTCACCCTTTCACCCTTTCCTCCAAGCCAAACAAAAATAAGCAGCCCAACCAAAACGGCAAAACGTATTGTTCTTGTAAATTGGTAGTTTTATAATATCAAGCCAAACCGAACATTAAGCAGTATATATATTTTTTTTCTTGAGATATATTAAGTAGTATAAATTGGAACCTACCCAACTCGTAGGTTTACTTGTTGCTCATGACTTGTTAATTTCGTATATTATATTCATAAAAAATTGTTATTGAATCTCCAAATAAAATCATATCGCACATAGATCCACAATTTCATTCAATCAAATACCAATAGTACTCTCCAAGAAAGAAAAATGCTACCCTTCTTGAATTGATCTTTTAAATCTCAAAAACTCCATGTTGTTTTAAATGTGTGTTCATTGAAGACCATATACAAGCAAAGCTCCAACGCCGGCGAGACCAGCCACCAGCCAATGATAACGGCAATCGGAGGCAAACTGCCACCAATGGCTTTCCCGGTGTTGACATCGTATCGTGCAAACCGCTTCTTTGGTGCTAGACATTGAGGGCATGCGTACGCATCCGGCTGCAAATGAAATAGTATTATGCATCGCTTACCATGCACGTCAAAATCACGTAGCACACATGCTTGTCTAACCTAATTCGTAATTGGGGGAAATGAAGCTAATTAAATACCTGTTCATCAAAAGGCTTCTGTAATGTGTATATGAATCCACAGTCAAGGTATATGTCAGTAGCTCTAGCCTGAAGATTGTTCATGGTCCAACCAATCAATTAGTATTATTTATAGGGTGTAGAAAGTAAAAAATTACGGAACAAATAAAACACTGTCACATCAGTTGGTGTCTTAAAAGTTGAATTTAAGTTATACGGAATTCTTACCTTTTGAGTCTCAGTTAGTTTCCGTCCAAATCGAGGCGGAGCCGGTCGCTTTGGCAGGCGTTTAACGTCTACAGTAGCACCACCTCTGCATTAAAAATGATCACAGCTAACTTCATTTTTACAATCTAAAACAGTGTTATTAATTAAATCAAAATCAATTTATCTGCTAAGAGGAAATTAAGAAATAGATAAGCAACCTGTTAACAACGAGTCTGGCTTGGCATTGATGGCAGTTTTTGTAAACCCTAGTTTATCTGCTGGCCATAATTCATCACCAAAGAAGCTGCTAGTGTAGAGGACTTGCTCCCCTGCCTTAAGCCCTGCCCTTGCTGCATTCCCACCTCCATCCACAGCCTGAACACACGTATCAATAGGTACATATATATAATATAAGCTGCCAATTGTAAGTGATCATATTCGTATAGGAATAGGTATTAGCATTCCAAATTACTCGTTCCTTCTTTATTTTTACCTGTAAGGCGAAGTGCAAATAACTCTTTTGGAGTGCGACTAATTTCAATCTCCCAACTTCATACAATAACATGGGATCGTTTGGGACTTTTCTATGGGAAGAACTTATGTTCAAAAGCACTTTCATTAGCAGGTGTTTCTCTAAAAAGTGCTTATATGACTCAAAAATGCTTTTAAGTTTTTATACCAAAAGTAATCGGAAGCACTTTTGATAGTCATAGAACACTTATAACAAGCTTTTCAAAAAGCAATCTCAACCAGTCCTAAATGGTGCATTTGAAGTTAGAAAATGGAAGATATTGGGGTTAACTCACTGTGATGGAAGATATTGGGGTTAACTCCGGGCTTTTGACCCAAAGTGAGGCCTAATGGCTTGTCCACCTCAGCCTCAATCGACTTGGAAGCCCCTGTGGTTCTTGCTGTAACCCTAAGCCCTCTTCCTTTCCCTACGTTGTAGTTGCCTAAACCACTCCTGTTATTCTCAGCAGCTACTAGCAAAGAATCAAACACTCCCTTTTTGGCTTCTCCGAGTGACAATCCTTGGAAGCTAGTTTTCTTGACATAGCAAGAAAAAATACAGAATCATAAGGCTTGTGTAATGGCGTAGCTCATGAAACTTACTTAAATTGGAATGCCGCTATAACACTATCTCAAGTTATAACACGCACTGCAATGCGTTTTAACTTTTTCATATTAGTTGGCATCTCCGTTGCAGCGAAGTTCTTCTTGTGTTTTGGCCATTGGATTAGAGTAGGTGCCTACCTGGCACTGATTTGGTGCCAATTGCTTTGGAGTTGTGAGCTGTGGAGTTCTTGTCGAGTGGTGCCTTTTGAATGCGGCGGAGCAAGAGGAGGAGGAGGAAGCAGCTGCAAGCACCGCCTGTGAAATGTTTAATTTGGCACCGCTAAAGTGCGGCTAGACAAAGAAACTAGAGTGAGTCAGGCACACACTCTACGGTCTGTCTTTTTTCTGGATGAAATTGTTGTGCACAGAATTGCGTTGCCAGATAAACTTTGATTGGCCACGATCTGATTCAATGGCCAGCCACAAATTACAAGCACCAATTTTCTCTGGAATTAATTTTTATTAGTTCATTAGTTTTGAGCAGCAGGAGCACTCTTCAAGGTTGGCCCAACAAAGGGGTTAAAGTTGGGCCGGCACCACGTTATAAGGGTTGAATGCTAACCAAGCCTGGCCTACCACGTACTCAGCCCATCCAATTCCAAAGCCCAAGGTAACGATACGTGATTCTTAAATTTGCAAAATCAATATTGATAAAATTATTTAGACGCATAAACGGCCTTGATATCTAATAAAGATGAAGCTTATCATGAAAAGGATGTGTTAATAAAAGTGCAGGTTTTGTGTGTCTAAATTAGAGGTAAGTAAATGGTACCAAGACTCGCTAGTCGGGGTGGATCAAAAGTTTATAAATCCAAAAACATGAAGGGGGGGGGGGGCGGGTCCACATATCTCTCTCTCTCTCTCTCTCTCTCTCTCTCTCTCTCTCTCTCATCTATCAGACCACGAGCTTGAGCAGTCAACCCTCGAATTTCATTCTCTTGGTCTCTCATCAAACCTCCATTTCTCCTCTTGACTTGCTCTTTTTGTCACAATCATCATTAGACCTCGATCTCTCCTCAAGACTCGCTCCCACCATCCCAACCCTGTTCACCACCACTATCATCATTAGACCTCGACCTAGGATAGCTGAAATCCTCTAGCCCTTTTTTTTGGTCTACTTATAGGGAATTCCTTCATTTTTTGTGGCTTTAATTTATGAATGCATGCAAGAAATCGAAATAGCGAATGCAATTGTGGTTGAAATTCTTTCATTTTCTTAAATTTTCTTTTTCTATTATCCGATCCAGCCCGCTCCATTTTATTTTCAAACAAATTCGGTCCGATTCCTCAAATTTTGGGCCCAGCCCAGGCGATGCCCACCCCTTTCTAAACAGTTTAACTCAAGAATATCTTATCAAAACACGAGCTAATCACCAAAGGCCACCGCATAACAAACGCCGCCAATAATGTCGCCAAGGCATTAAAACGAGAACATTCCAAGAAGTCCGCGTCACGGACGGGTAAAACGAACCCAACCGCCAAAACTAGAAACGACGTCGCTTGGTACCAGCGAAGAGTACGGGGCCGTGTAGGTGGCGGTACAAACTGCAAAGAAGAAAGCCAGCTGGGGCAGGTGGATGTAAAACATCAGACACCACCTTCCACTGTATAAAACTGACTCATCAACCAAATCATTTTACACCAAAAGGCCAACCATCGCACGTTCCCTCTCTCTCTCTCTCTCTCTCTCAGCTTTCTCTCTCCACACACACTCTTTCTCTCCTCTCTCTGTCTCTCTGTCTCTCTCTCGCTCTCTCTCTCTCTCTCTACACTAGTCTTTTACTGTATGGCCGCCAATTCGAGCAGTCGAGGTATCGCGAGCTTGGGGAAGCGACTTATCAACGAGATCCGAGCGCGCGATTCAGCTCAGCTCTCTGCTCTCACTCTCAGGTATCGATTTTGCATTTGATTCGAGCTTTTTCGCGTGTATTTGCGTTTAATTGCTGATCTATTAATTATGTGATGATTAATTTAAGTAGTTAATAATTAATTTCATGTTAGAGGAGCTGCGATCTGATCATCTGAGTTGCTTCGGTGGTGTTTTCTCAGTTGGAAATTTTGCTTTAATTTATGGAAAAAAATAGTTGAAACTTAGAAAAAAATAGTTGAAACTTACTGAACAGAAATAAATTATTAGATAAGAGTGACTTTTGGAATCTATCCTTCCTTTTGTGTGATCGTGGTGTGAGATTTTGCTCTGAATGGATCGCTTTATCTGTTTAAATTCTTTGCTTTCTTTTCGCTGCCACACCGGATGCATAATATCGTTGACATTTTGATGCAGAGCTTATCAAATTTTGTAATTCCATTTCGGGATTTTGTAGTATACTCCGTTAGATTCGTCAAAGAGACAATGACCAAGATCTAACTGTTAAAAATTTCGAAGAATAGAATACTCCAGAGCATCATAGGATTTTCGCTCCATTTCAGTCAGCTTCGTTTTAATCGATGTTTTACTTTTTATGACTATCTTTTTTAAGGGAAGGAAAGAAAAAATTTAGAAACAAAATTAAATAATAAATATGGGCATTTTCGTACCAACAACCAAGGGCCTGTTAGCCGTAGTACTCGCTGGGTGCCGGGTTCGGATAAGGACATGCTGCCACTGACTAGGATCCTGATTGGACAATTGTCCACCATATCATGAATATAATAAATAAATAAGAGAATTGAGGAAGAAAAAATAGAGAGAAAGGATGTTACTTTTGGTAATTAGGCAACATAATTACGCTTATGGTTTTGTTTTTAGAGTAAACCATGGTGATGATCATATTTCGGAATCCTTAGATCTTTTGCGGATTTTTATCTTAGGGTGGTTTTGTTTTTTCAGACATATATATGGCAGTAAATCTTTCAATAGCGACAGATGTGGATGTGGATGTGCCTAAAATCTAGTGTCATTTTCGTGGCAAGATTCTTTTAGTGAAATATCAACTTCAGATAAGAACTAGATAAATTTTTAGGTGCCTTGCATTTGCAGTTTCAGATTTATAATCTTGGAATGGTCCGTCTAATAGCATGGTTTTCAGTTCGTTTTTATTTCGTTCTTCTTGAGATGTGTCCAATCGTATGACGGTAATCTGTTTCTGTTTTTGTTTTTGTTTCCGGGTTTGATTATCTTTTGTTTTCTACTCATGTTTATAGATACATACATGTTTTGGACCTAGTGTTTTTGGTATAACAATAACGGAACCGTGAGACTCCACCGTCCACGGTACCATACTTGTCGCCTGTTAACATTAATACTAGTAATCCGCTTACTTTGACTGAGGATTTTTTATTTTCTTTGGTCAGATATTTGGTTTATAATTAGTCATATTACTTAATTCGGATGAATGACCATAGACACACTTGCCTGCTTCAGGACAATAGGCCGGCGAAGTTCTGTGTGAGAAATGCCATACCATACAGTATTAGTTTTGGAATATAAAAATTGTTGGGTCAGTTGCTAGTCTTTATCTACTAGTAGGTAACATGTTGGGTGGCACCATCTGGTGTAAAGTCACGTGGTTGGCATCGATACCTACCCTTAAACAAATCCCTTTATGCTTTGGCCATTAGGGAATCTAATTAAGATAAAACCAGGTAAAGAGTACAAAAGTTGAAAATAACTAGCTAGATAGGGCATTTGCGGTAAAGTTCGTTCCCATGCTTGATGGGAATGTGTTGTCTGTCCCCATCTTTTAAATATGGCTAGCTTAAGCTGCACTATTTGTGGTAAAGTTGTCCTCATGCTTAAGCTGCATATTCCTAGTTGCTTCGTTCATCCTTTCTTAAGTTGCCTTTTGTTTACTATTGCGAAGAAATAATGTCTTAAGACAAATAATTGCTTTTACTTTTAGTTTTCTTTTTTCGTAGAAATATTAGCATCCAGACGTACTCATCTACCATCTCAATTAAGTTTGGCCTAACTAAATTTAAATACCCTCTTGTATGTATTGATATTCAGGAGGGCTGCTCACACCTCGACCTATGACAAGAACCCAGAGGAGCAAACTGGACCCAGCTTTGTTCCAGATGATGTGATCCCGCCCCAACCGGACAAGTACTGGGCTCCCCACCCAGACACGGGGGTTTTCGGGCCTGAAGCTGAACACACATCTTCTGTGGGCAGGGAGGACGGCTCCTCCCGGGGCGATGGTGGGGAGGGATCCTCGGTTCTGGAGCAAAAGGCGTGGTTTCGCCCTACCAGCATCGAGGACTTGGAGAAGCCTGACCTTCCCTAACTCTGAGGCAACATATGAATTATATATATAATAGATAAATAATATATAGGCGTGGTGCAGCGGAGGCTGCCTATATATGTGCTGAGGTGCTAAAAGTAGTAGTATTCTGTGTGCTAAAACCGGTTGGTAGCAAAGCTGGAGTTGACTGTGTTACATATTGTATGCAACTTAATGGTTACCTACCCTATGCCTATGGGCTGTGTATTTCTAATTTTCTACGGTATCTTTTCCGTGAATAGAGGGATATGCCTTGTTAATCAATAGTTAGGATGCCAATCAGTTAGTGCCATGTGGAATTTCGCAAAACTCAATTTCCTTATCACAAAATTGCTTTACATGACAAAAGCTGTGAACAAAACGATAGTTTAGAATAGAATTGGATTGGATAACTCGATATTTGCGAGAAACTAGCGAAAATGAAGTACTCGTAAAAAAAAGTCATCATTTTTATTATGTGAATCATGTTTTATTTTAATTTCTTCTAAATAAAGAGTCGCTCACCTCTATAGCTCTACCCTTCCATCAAATAAAACAATGTACCAAGAAGAAAGAGTAATTAAATAGTCACAATGGGTGGTTCCTTAAAGGGAGTTTAATGGGCGGTAATGAGCCCCCCTGCTTCTCCATTGTCTTTAGATACTCCTCGTTGAATTGATTCGTCATCGACATCCCGGCCATCTCCGTCATCTTTCGCGTTGAGCTTTTTAATTTCTTGCAGGGCAAGGTAACCAGAGTTTCTAGTGTGATGAATAAACATGACATGAAGTTATTCACGTCATGCTTAACCACTAGTGTGCCATGATGCGAGTATTAGTGTAGCCATGACTTATCTTAACACGCTAATTCTTGAATCGTAGCACGCCATAACTGACGTCGCGAATTGTTGTCTAAATACATGGTGTGTTATCACATGCATTTAGTATGGTATATGCTCACCACTATTTATCATTGTTAGATGAATTTGAATTTCGAGATTCGTGTAGTGGATAGGAACAAATATCAAAATTCAAACTCATCTAACGGTGATAAATAGGATGGTGAGCATACACCACACTAAATGGTGGTGAGTAAAAATACACTCCTCTCAAACACCCAAAAAAATACGTAATATACATGTAGTTGAATAGTTCTAAATAGTATTCGTCCCATCTCATCATGTCATTACCTGCAACATATTGACAATAACCACGAAAACATAAATAGAAGGTAAGTAGATAAAAATAGGGACGGGACTTGAGTTTAAATCACTTAATACATAATATACATGTAGTTGCATACGTTCTAATTAGTATTGTAGTTCAATCACTGCTACTCATACTTCTTATCACGTAGCCTGTGTTCAATACTCATAAAATTTATTATCACGTAGTTTATTCTTTTAATCTTTCATTTGAATTATACCACGTGAATTTATTTTAACACGTAGCTTGTGTTCAATACTAATAAAATTTTCTCCAAAGCATGAGCACCAGAGCTGACTCTACAGAATAAAACCTCTCAAATTTGACGAAGTCTAAAACCATAGCAGGCAGGCATGGCATTCCCAAGAGTGATGACGACCCGCGCCAACTCACCCTTATTGCATTCAATTGGAGTGTTTCAAACTCGAAACTTAGCCTACTCGTACCTATCATTCTATGGAGTTAACTCCAGTGGCTTCAATGATTCAAATTTCATCTACGCGCGACCAATAAAAAACCAACCAACCGAAAAGAGCAAAAACAAAATGAAACCGATACAGGTTCTCTAAGTAGGAAACCCGGATTTTTATCATTGCTTTTGGCAGTTCAATTGTTCATACTAATTGCACTTTCAAACAACAGAAATCTGCTATTGACGGTTGGTTTTTAAAGTAAAGAATGAATCTTGAAGAGAGAATGCATAAAACTGAATCACCGGCCTCCTTGTGTTGCAGCATCGAGAGGTTGAACAGCAGCTAAAGGATTCACCTGGTACGAAAATGCAAGCTGCCACAAGTCTACCAGAGCTTTCTTCATTGTCAAAGCTTGTCGCTGCATAATCCTGAGACGAGCAAATACATTTCTGCAAAATCTCAAATGATTACAATGGGAATGGAACCAATAATTTGACATGAGCATTGAAGACATGCATGTTAATTATGAAGTATAACTCACCTCTTTAAGGTAGCTTGTTTTCTCCTCAAAACATAATATACGAGCAAAATCAAGAATCCCGAGACAATCTTTCCATTAGATATTACCACCCGAGCACTGCCAAATTTCAGAGTGACCGTACGGAACCACCAAACACATGGTTCCAACTTTTTGGACAGATTGAAAACTGTTTGTTTCTTAGCAGTCTCTCCATCTCTGGCTTTTGGATATCCATCAGGCACAGTTATCTGCTTCACATCCTAGTTGTCCACCGGTGAAGGTGACAAGGATCCTTGCGATGAGTTGGTGGCTTTAACAAAATGTAGCGAGTGTAACCTTCTCAGAAGTACCTAGAAAGACACTGTCCTCTATTTTATATCTAGTAGACATGAAGCATAAACAATAGGACCACCTCAATCAATTGTCGCGGTGCCGAGTCCGACATAAGATGCATATAGATGTAGTTACCTGTCTTCTGTCCTCAGAGGTTGCAAGCTCGACATCATTCAAAATGGTTCCCAGAAGCGCCAGCACATAGACGTCAGCTACTTCTAAATATTAAAATTATATTACAAGAGCTGTAAGTGCGTGGGGAAAGGGATCCTCTTCGGATCCCTTCCTCCTAATCCACCAAATTAGGTAATCCGTGCCATTGAAATTTGATCAAACAGCGACAAATAGGGGTCCACTTTAAAAGTTATAATAACTTTAGCCGTTGGATCAAATTTCAACGGTATAGATTACCTGATTAGGTGGATTAGGAGGAAGAGATCCGGAGAGGATCCCTTTCCACCAAGAGGTATTTAAAACTTGAAACAAACAATTATTACATGGGAGTGGTGGAGATAATAATAGCCAGGACTCGGGGGGACAATATAATGTCGGCAAAGTTATATATCTCATTGCTGAAATCGCGGGAGGACTGAAAACTGGCACTTTGAAACGCCAACTTTTCCAATTCATTCTATGTACGGAACGGAATACTGTTTGAGTCGCAGCACTTTGAAAACCCAATTCTTCCACACCAATGCCGCACAGGAACCAAGTTGGTAGCTCATGAAAGCGACTCGTCCTCTCAAGTCTGAAGCTGAGTGCTTTCGTGTTGCACATCCCCGGTGTTGTCCACGTTTCCAACGGCTAAACCTGAAGCATGTTTCATTATCTATACAACATACGTGCTCTTGCTGCCCGTTGCGATTATCAGTTGTGCAGTATAATGTGGCAAAAAACAACACCCCATCTGGCTTCAAGTGTTTACACTACCATCATCCCGTAAGGCCTGAGGAAGTATTTGACAAACCAAAATCAAGGTCAATCTGGTATAAACCCATACGAGTAGGAGTCTAGGAGTCCGAAACGTAAAGTGAACAAGAAAAGAAACGAAAGAGAAGATAAAAATGCTCACCCTAGTTGGACTGCTGAAAGGATCATAGGCCGTGTCCATACCAGACTGCCCTAGCACATTGCATCACAAACCAATCCATTCACTATTACTCACAATACCTCTGTTAAAGGACCATTAAAGCAACTTGTAACATCTGTCTAGCCTTTCTATCTGGAGTGCATCCGGCACGTTCCATTTCCTTGTATATCTCCAGGACCTGATCAAGAAACCGCTTGCAATTTGAGAGATTTAGAAAAGAAAACAAGCTTCCTACTCTCTCTTGAGATGAGAGTTGGGGTGGAGACTAGAGAATTTAAAAGTTATTGAAGAATATGTAGCACCTTATCAAACTTCCTTGCCCGAATAAACGCCTTCATACGTGTAGTATAAGTAACCACATCAGGGCTAAAACCCTTCAAAGAAAACAAAAGCAGCACCATTAGAAAATTAGCTGAAAAGTATCACGAAAACTGAATTGGTTGAAAAAATTCAAGATATTTGACATCCCAACTAGAAAAGATTTAGGCAAAAACAAGACTTACACTTTCTTTTATATGGTGATAAATGGATAATGCCTCTAAATATCTACCAGCAACACCGAATGCATTAATCAGAACATTCAGCATTATGACGTTTGGTTCGATTCCCTCAGCTTCCATAAGCTGGAGTACCTTAACTGTCTGATGACATAATCCCTGCATTAAAAAGGATAAAGGCATTGTAATTTGCACAACATATGGATATATTTCGAGATATAATGAAATTCAATGAAAACAATGTAAGAGAATCGGAAAACCTGCTGAGCGTAGGCATTTGCTAAGACACAAAACATGCTAGCTGAAGGAATAAGACCTTCAGCTTTTAGGGCAAATATACACTCTTCAGCATCCTGAAATTTTCCATACTGCCCATAAATATCAACCAAAACAGCATAAATTATCCCACTTTTCTTATGCCCTCGGCGTTTCATATTCTCAAAAGTCTTCTGGATCACATCCCACTTCCCCTGCTCCCCCAATCGGCTGATAACGGTGACAAAGATCTTTGGATCAGGATACAACCCCTGCTCCTGCATCTCTGTAAACAACTCAAGTGCCTTGCTTATATTCCCTGCCTTACAATGCCACCGTATCAATGAATTAGACGTCATTATATCAGGCTTCACACCTTCTTGTTTCATCTTATCAAATACTTCCAAAGCTTCGTCCAATTCACCATATTTCCCAAACGTACCAATAATGCTGTTGAAAATCTGTTTATCCAATACCATCCCCATCTCCCTTATCTCTCCCACAATGTCCATTGCCTTCTTCCACATCCCATTGTCCCTGTAAAGTCCAATAACTTTGCTATACACAAACGAGCTCAACCGAAACCGCTTGCGCTTCATCTCATTAATCGTTGACCAAGTATCTTCCAACCTCCCGGAACTGACATAGTAATCAAGAAGAATCTCATACGTCTCTTCATTTTTCTCCGCAACAAAATCGCCCATTACTGCCAAAACTCTAATTGCAAGTTCTAAGAGGCCTTTCTTCAAACACCCTCTGAGCATAACATTGTAAACCCTGATTCTTGGCCTCAACCCAGAACATATCATCTCCTGAAACAACACATCGGCCTCCAAAGTCCTGCCATTGCTCCCGAGGCCCTCAATCAAATGAGCGTAAGACATCGAATTGGGTCGGACGCCGAGAACTTCCATTTCTTCAAGAACAGTCATTGCCTGGTCGATATGCCCTGCTCTGCAGAACCCACTTATCAAATTGTTGTATGATTCGCCGGAAAGTTCCTCTCCGGTCGTTTGAGCAATTAGGTAGCTTGGAATTGAAGTGTTTTCGTCATTGGGTGCTGTAAATTTGAAATCTTTCGCGTTCTTGGTACGATTCGAGTGAGTGAAAGAAGCGTGGAAATTGTACGTCTCGGAGTGTTTGAGGCATCTCAGACAGAAGAGAGAGAGTGGAGTGATTGCGAAGCTGCCTGCGGATGAAAGTGAAGGTGAGTTGCGATACCAAATGGACTGCACCAGCATCGCCATGCTCTCATAGACGCTGACCCAACCAGGTGTCTTGGATCGAGTCCTAGACATATTCCAACAACGGAATTCTTTAACAAGAAGAATCCTTATTTTTCTAAAATAATAAAAATACTTTCTTAACTGTTGGATTTGATTTTAGTGAAATTGTGTGACATGTGATTTAATCTCAACCACATAATTTCATTAAAGTCAATCCAATGATGAAGAGTGTGTCCTTATTATTATTATTATTATTTTAATGAAGATCCTCTTGTTAAAGGGCATGTTCGAACAACATCTAATTTTGTTTGTCCAAAAATAAAAGACATATATTGTGATTTGGAATAAAAAGATTTATTTTGGACATCACACCCAACTCCCTCACTCCTTTAATGTGGGTTTCAAAAAAAAATTAACGTTTAAATGAGAAAATTTAAGGTTGCTAGAGAATTTGAAATGATAGAATTTTTTTTCAAAATTTGTAAATTTTCTTGTGACGAAAAGGACAATGAAATTTAAATATGAAATATAATGTGTATATTGTCATTAATATATAAATAAGGCATTGTAATTAGGAAATGTGTTAGTAGTAGTGGCAGCGACAATGATTATGATAGCGACATGGGTATGGGCAGTGATCATGTTGTGTTGTGGCAGAGAAGACGGCAGCGAGTATGACAATGGTATGGTGATGACATGTGGTGGTGGTGATGGTCACTCATGGTTGTTTTTTATTTTTAAATTCTCACTCATGAGAAAACTCGAAAATAACAACTATTTACGTCAAGGGTAATATATGCAACATTCTTACATAAAATTTACTATATTGTCTTATGCTCTAACATCAAGTGTGAAATGAGTTTGATCCCGCTCTCCCACGCATTCTTTTGACTAGGCACTTTTAGGTTTAAATTTATTCACATCCTTTTTCCACTACACTACACTTTATGGCTTCGTCACCCTCCAGGTGTCAGCCAACACAACTCGATTTGGAGTCAAAGTGGACATTCCGGGTCGGGGTGTGTCAAAAAGGATATTGGCATGAAGGGTTGTATAATTTGTCTTAGGAGATGCAAAATATGTGTAATTCAATTCTCTAATTTTTTGTAGCAAAATTGTATATTTCTAAATCGGAAGGGAAAAATAAGCACTATAGCAGTTCATGTATAGAAAGAGCATGTAAAAGGGAAGTACATGTAAAGGTTTCTTAGGTCAGTTGGCTGCTTTCTTTTAGTGTTTTCAATTTGTTCCTTTTATTTTGTCTGCAATTTATGCATCAATTGCCCTGCTTCCTTTGTAAATCTTCCAGGTCAGGACGACACACATATCGGGGGAATCTCGGGATGTTTAGGCTTGGGTGGAGATGTGGACTTATGGAAGAGGAGAAGTAGCTTGGCTCTATGTCATTATCATTATCTGTTCTATGCATCTCTATAATCTTACAATGCTCGTTTATTAAATTGCAAGATGTTGGGACAGGTTACTGGAATACAAGAATTGGAACAAAAGTGGTTGACAACACAAGAGTCGAAACCAAGTGTGAAATTCACATTGAAATGACAGGTGAGAATGCTAATCATATTCTTAAAAAAGGTTGGTTTTCCTGGTGAGTTCTCTGGCTGCTAATTTAGTGATTTGAAGGTAATTTTGTAAATTTATTGAATGAAGTCATTTGTTATTTAGCTTACCTTGCGTTTGGTTTGGTTTTAGGAGAGGGTTGCGCATGATCGGTAGGTTCAATCAACCTCGCTGTTTTCGTTAGAATCACAATTTAAGGTCGGTATTTCCAACATGTTTCATTTTCTTTTTGCTGCATGTTCGTGCATGTTTGGTCTCTGAGATTTTGTTTTTAGCCATTGTTTATTTATAGTTTATGTCTCCTTTGGCTACATGTTGACACAGGTTTATTCTCAGCATTTTTTTGTTGGGCTAAGTGGTTTGGTGAGTTCTGTTTTATTATTTAATCTTAGGGGCTATTTTAAGTAAAAATGAAATGTTGACATTGACATAGCATATGGCACACTTAATCCACACTCCTATATTCGGTCTTCTTGCTTCCATTGCAACACTCTGCATGTCCCACCCAATGGTTTTTTTAATAATGATGTAGTCAAAGCAGTTATATGCTTGTTGATCCTAAAAATTACAAAACCTACGTGGCGCGCAGGCCGAGTAATTAATGAGTTAACTACGTCCTTCGGTTGATGCGGGGCGTGCCAACTCGTCGGCCAAGCTCGGTCGAGGAGTAAAATTTGTTGATGTTGCGTTGAGTGCGTTGCTGACTTCTTTCTTTTGCAATTGCAGCCGAGGAAGGAACACTCTCGATCTTCGGGTTCTAAAGCCTGAAGACAAGGCTGCTAGTTCTACGAAGTTCACAAATCGTTGGTGCCTGATTCGGTCACCGTGATTATATTCATAAGAGTATAAGCACGTCGAATCGACACCAGACTATACGGACACAAATATTCAAAGGTGATGTATGTCTTGATGGTAATGGTGGTTCAGCCGTCAGAATGCTGAACTCTGAAACTCACTTGTGAGTATCCGATCATAAAATCACTCGGCGTCCAGTATGCCGAATGTCGTAGCTCGTAACACCTTACTTCGCCAAAAAGGCTAATAAGGTGACCTCCGCCAACAAGGATTCGAAAACCCTTCTCGGCCGAGACTTGGATAGGTAACTAGTCGGCCTCGACGCAGTGCTGTTTATCCAAACTGAAGGTGCTTCTCGGTCGGCTGATTCTACGGCAACAGTGCTGTTTATCCAAACTGAAGGTGTTCGCCGGTTGCCTCCACAGTGCTGTTTATCCAAAATGAAGGTGTGTCGGCGAGAAAAAGAAAATAAAAATCTCAAGCTGTTTGAGAGGTTTTGCACAGGGCAATTGTGTGTTGAATTGAAGGTCCTTAATTGTTGCATGATTTCTTGTATTTATAGCACCAACTCCTTGAGATCGAATTAAACTCCTATCTGGATTGGTAGTCCTTACTCTGTTCCAACTTTGCTTCGAACAACCCTACTCCCATTAGGACTTTGAACTCACCCCCTTCGGGGCTTTATTCATTGTTGGTCGAGAATCCTAGTTGCACCAGGACTTCCTCGACCCTCTTTGCTTATCTGGACTACTCCTTCTTGCGATAAGACTCGACCATCCCTGCTAAATGGCCCGGAATCATCAAGCAGCCCATAGTATTTTGACACGGCTTTGGGCCGAGCACAAACCTACACTCGGCCCAACAATATTATTTTGGGCCCAAACAGTGCTCTATCAAGTATGTTTTGTATATAGTTGTGGTAGTTGCAAGGAAATGAAATACTTGTGTAGATAATTGGTAGTTTAAATATATAGAAATAGAGAATAATTATAAATGAAGCACCTAGGATATTTAACATTGTTTTCTTTTCCATGTAATTTTTTTCTCATGTTTAACACCTGCTTTTGTTTAAGCATTTTTTCTCATGTCTAACCCAGTTAATTTTGCTTAGTGCTGATATATAAGTAGAACTCTCATTGCATCAACTTGAACAAACATTCTTCTACTTAGATGCTTAGCTTGTTAATTTTTATGCTCTATTTGCCCTCTCCATTTCCAGTTGAATGAATTGGTTAAAGCGTTTTACTATTTATCTCTGTTGTTGCACCAGATTTAACCTTGGTTTTTGACTATGTCTAATGGTGAACCATGCAGTGCTTTTTTGAGGAGTTTCAGAACTGGAACATGGCATGGGCCCGCGTTATATGTCACACTTATGAGATTAGGGTTCTAGCTGTGAGGGTAAGACCAATAATTTAGTTTTGTTTGAATAATGAGATATATGCTTTATTTCGTAATTGGTTGTTGATATCTTGGGAAGACAAATCAACTAAGACTGTTATGCGTAGTTTTGTAGACTGGTTTTTTCTTTATTGAACATTAGCATGTAAATATATAGTGATATGGATGAGAATATATTTTTATATATTTCACACATTTAACACAATTTCGGGCATCGGCAATATCTAGTCATTCCTATTGGATAAGAGTTTTTGACTGAGTATACAAATTGAACAGTTGTATCTAAAGAGGAATACATGACACGGTCTAACAGAATCAAGACACAGAAGAAAAGAAAGAAGTAGCCTTGGAAATAAGAAAAGCAGTCTTGGAAGTAGCAGCATCATCAATTCCGGATGGAGAAGCAGCACTACTAGTACTACTACTATTTGATGAATCTGCAAAACTATTCCCCACAGACGAAACCCTCACAACCTGCTCGCTCACGTTCGTGCCTCTTTTGCAATAGCTGGCAAAGTCCTCGCAGTTGTTTTTAAGCAAATCATATTCACCGAAACCCGTCCCATGAGTCGGATCCTTGTCGAAAATCTCTGAGGCACGACGAACCGTTTCGCCTCCCGGATAACAACTCTCAGTGCTGCAAGTCCCTTTGTTTTTGATATTGAAGCGATCGTGAGACACGTTGTATTCGAATCGAAAAAGGCCGTGACCTTTCAGGAAGCAATCGACGCAGGTTTTTACCACTCCGCGTGCCGTGTTTGGGTCGTTCTTGCAGTCGCTGCATCGAGGCTTTCTCTTACTACTTGTTTTCCCTTTTCTCTTTGTTTTGACAAAATGCATAACGCTACCTTCCCCAACGTATATGCCTGCATGCATGCAACCATGCCATAAATATATGTACACATATATGCTTAAAGTGGGATTTATGCATATATTTATAAATTTTTGTTGTTTGGATTGAATAAATCAAACAAATTCAAAGCAAATAAATAAATGAGAGCGTGTAAAAAGACAAAAAGCATGCAAAATTTTTATTTTTTTTGTAATTAAATAATCACCATGGTGGGAGTATGCATGCGCTTTTCTATAAGCATAAATGTGATCTCCCGGCTGGAGCTCCTCCCTGGAAATCCTGTTTGACAATAGACCCATCTCTCTCTCTCTCTCTCTCTCTCTCTCTCTCTCTCTCTAGGTTAGCATTCAGCACTCCAATTATCTGCAGTTAAATTGAACTACGCGTTGCAATATTCAACTACGCGTTGGAATATTCAACCACGCGTTGTTTGGCATCATGTCGGATATTAGTCATTGACACATTTGGTTGGAATATCCAGGCTAATCAATTTCTTTTTCATGTTTCTCGTCTCTTCAACTTCTTTTAAAATTAAGATTTTCTGATTGTTGAATGTTAACGTATAATGGAAAATTATAATCATGTTGCACATGTGGTATAGTCTTATTGGGTGTTGGGTCTCACATATGTTTCAAGATGCGACATATAAGTTTTAAGAAGAAAAGAAAGCCTACAAATCAAATTGAAAAAAATTTTGAGTTTCAAGAACTAAGATGGTGACTTTTAAGTTACTAGAGGCAAAATGATATCAAAGTAGAATTTCAGGAGATGTAATTAAAAATAAGCCAAGAATGAACAAGCCGTATGATGTGCTCGGCCTACAGGGGCCCGGTTGAACTAAGAACGAAACAGAAGGTGGGAGAAGACGAGGCCCAAAACTTCCGACCCAATACGAAAGACACGCTCGGGTTTTCTGCTATCTATCATAAACCCTAGCTCGCACCAGTCGTTGAGGCCGCGCGGGTAGAGGGAGCAAGAGAGCATTTCATCGCGAACTCCGATTTTAGGTTTTCCTCACTTTCCCTTTCCCTCTCTGTTTTTCTGTAGAAATCTTCGATTAATGTTTCTCATTTCATTGTTGTCTTCGTCTCATGTTTTTTGGTCTCCAAAACCGAAGGCTAAGGCGTTTAAATTTGCTTATGCTTAGATTTATAGGGATTTATTGCTTCTGATATGCTGTGGATTTTTCTTAAGCTGGTTTTGTATCATTTTGGTCGCTGAGTGTTTTATCGGATTGGAATAATTATCGTGTGCTGGATTCTGTTTCTGCTAGCAATGTATTGCGTTTTCTGAACTATATGATTTATTTTTTTTTTTTTTTGAGAAAGATGAACTGTATGATTCTTATTTTTGAGGTTTTTTATTATTTGGGATTGATCCAGGGAGATGATTGTCTTTGTGTTTTTCGTTGGATATTCGGTATTTGTTGTGTTATTTGTGCATTTGGAATTCGGTATTTGTTGTGTTATTTGTGCATTTGGAATTCTGAATTATGCGATTCGATTACCTCATAGGTAAGCCATGGTGAAGCACAACAACGTTATCCCGAGCTCTCACTTCAGGAAGCATTGGCAGAACTATGTCAAGACCTGGTTTAACCAACCTGCTAGGAAGACCCGGAGGAGAACTGGTGAGTTAAAGTAGTCGTTTTTATCACCTCTTTTCTTGTTTCTTAGCTTTACATGCACTATTATTTCACAAACGATAATTTGTAGTTCGACTGACTCGACTGTTTTGAAATATCATCAGCTCGCCAGAAGAAGGCTGTGAAAATCTTCCCTCGTCCAACCACTGGTCCCCTCCGTCCCATTGTTCACGGACAGACTCTGAAGTATAACATGAAAGTGAGAGCTGGTAGAGGCTTTACTCTTGAAGAATTGAAGGCAAGTTCGGTTGTTTTTCGTCAATGGTTAAACTTTTTGGAATTAGTGTTATTTACTCATGGATTCTGATTATGGTATGCGTGTTCTACGTAAATCTTTGACAGAGTGCTTCATTTCCTTCATTTATATTTTTGCTTCGGAATTAGAGTTGGAACTCATCCAGCTTGTATTTTATGAGTTTATTGAAGTTGATTACCGGAGGAAGCGTTATAGTGATAAATAAAATACAATTGTTTTTCAGTTTTGAGCAGTTCGCCAGATTCCATAAAAATATAAACATGGTCTTAAATTTGGAATTGTTGATCAGCTTTATTTTGCTTCTGGCTTCCACCCATGCGCTTTTATGTGATGATTTTAACAAGTTGCTTACCTTGTTTGCTTACCAGTCTGCTGGAATTCCAAAGAAACTTGCACCTACCATTGGAATTTCTGTTGATCATCGTAGGAAGAATCGTTCTCTGGAGGGTCTTCAAGCTAATGTTCAGCGTCTGAAGACATACAAGGCCAAATTAGTGGTCTTCCCAAGACGCGCTAAGCATATCAAGGTGATGTTAAGTGGTTGATGTAGAGTAGTTTAAGAAACTTGATTTTCTGTGGGCATGGTATCTTATCTGCATAATTTCGGCTACAGGCTGGTGATTCTTCTGCAGAGGAGCTTGCCAACGCCACCCAGCTCCAAGCCCCCTACCTTCCAATTGCACGTGAGAAGCCTACGGTTGAGCTTGTGAAGATTACTGATGAGCTGAAATCATTCAAGGCTTATGACAAACTACGTGTGGAGAGGATGAACCAACGCCATGTTGGTGCCAGGCTCAAGAAGGCAGCAGAGGCCGAGAAGGAAGAGAAGAAGTAGAGAGAGAGAGCTCGATTTTGGAAGGATTTTTGTTTAGGTTTTACTGCCGGACTTGTTTCATGAACACATCAATTTCAGAGTTTGTAAGCTTAATTAATCCAAGTTAGCGAGATGCTGCCATGGCTCTTTATTTTTGTATCATTTTGGGTTTTGTGATTTGCAGCATCATATTGTGTTTTATGATGCATTTGATTTCGAATGATGTGGACTCGCAAAATGGTAGAATCGCTTGCAAAGGGTTTACATTCCCTTAACGCGCAAGCAAAACGGCGCGCAGAAACTCAACAATCTCATTCTGTACAAACTAGAAACGAAAAATGACTCGGATAATTTACTGTAAAAGAACAAAACGCTAGTACAAAAGAAAAAATGGTTTCCAAGGTTGAGATTGGATCGTTTCCTAACCACTTCTCTCTTAACATGGGCTTAAGCTTTCAACACGAGGGAACCATGTCATTAAAATCACGTCCAAGGACTGCAGAGTCTACGACCAGACGTGCCAAGAACTCCACAAAAATGTACACCACCTCCTGATGTAATGCTTTTGGCGATGACCACCGATCAATGCTTCAATGCCTGAAAAAATTCGTCGTTAGCAAGCCTAATTCATAGAAATATGATGTAAAATTAGTTCACCCCTTCTACAATAGTTACGACTGCCAAAAACCTTGGTGAAACGTGGAAAGGAATAAGATATAGCACGATTTAGTTCAAAGTTGCCATAACAACACCCTAGTTCCTGATACACCGGCAGTCACAGGATTAACTGTAATGAAATAATCTAGCTTTGATTTAGTTTCAACCAAGGAATAGGTTTAACAATGCAACTCAGAATTTATCGATATTCAGCATGTCTAGATTGTGGGTGTTTGCGCACTGTGGCTACAAGCATGTCAAAAACTTGTCCAGATGTAAACAAATTTGCAGTTCATATCAAAACAATCTAAATATTTTGACTAACAGATGGTAAGGTCCTAAAGGGAAGATCTTCAGACGAAGAAACATGCTTTAAAATTGCATCAACGAAGGAGAGTATTTAGAAGTTATACCTGAGAAGCCATAACCCATGTTCTATCTATCCAATCCTGGCGTGGCCTCAAATCAGAGTGCTGAAGCAGCAGTTCGTCGTCTGTACCTTTGAAGTAAACTTTGTACCTTCGGCCGTGAAGGACCTTGCGTATCACACCTTCCCACCAGCCATCATTATAGAAAGCATCAACCTCTTCCGTCAGACTGAAACTTCCAGCCACAACAACTTTTGGAGGACGAGGCCTTACGTGCATTGCGTCGACCTCTTCCGTCAACAACTCTCTGTTATCATCTGTTTTTATTGCCTTATATCGAATGAGAAACTTGTCCTTTTCCATTACTTCGACAATATTTGCAGCAAACCAAGCACCTTGAAATCCATCTTCGTCAGTGCAAACCTCAACCGCTGTTCCTTCGATCAATTCCTCTTTCATCCGAATCTTTGCTTCTTCGGCATCTAAGACATCCTGCAGCACATTGGGAAAAAGTATGTACTAGGAAGATGTCACTACAAATTGTACTAGGCTTAGGAACATGTCACTAAAATCATCCTAGATCATTGGAAAAAGAACATAAAAACAAAGATTCTCAAAACCCTAACCGGCAACAATCAAACACCAAGAAAATGTTACTTACTCCTTGTTGAAGAGGTGGGATCCAGGACCCATTGACCCACTCCCGGTGAAGGCGTAGTTCCTCCGGCTCGAACTCAAACTTCTCCTTGGCGAACCGGAAGTAAACCCCGAACGTGTTGTCCACCAAGACGTCAGTGACTACGACGCCCTCCCACCACCCGCCGCAAAAGAAGGCGTCAACCACGTCGCCTAATTTGAACCGGTAGTCGCTCTCTCGCGGCGGCGACGGACGGAGGAGCGCAGCGTCGACCTCTTCCCTCAAGGCTGCATTGCCACCCTTGTGGCCGCCGCCGATCTTGCGATCGATCCGAGCCTTCGCTCTGTTGTATTCGACTTTGAATTTCGATTTGGTTCTCGACTTGGCGACGATTTTCGCCGGGAATGTGGTGCCGCGCATGTTGTGGATTGGGGATGTGACCTCCACCTCGTCGCCTACCTCGAAGTGGGCGTCCGCCATGGCCGTCGCCTGTCAAGCTCTCTGTCTTTGTCTACTGGAGGGCTTTTAGGGCTTTTTGCCTCGAGGGTTTCGAGCCTTCAATCACTGTGGCGGGAGATGAAGTTGATGAAGCGCCAAGACGGGGATTCGTTGGACGAAAATACCCTTACTTCCACCGCTGGAGGGTGCTCCATTTTCGCTAAATTTTTCAGTGTTACAAATAGTTAGAGAGATAAGCTTTTACTAGCGATAGGGGTGAAGTAGGTGTAAAATATTACACTGTAATTATAGCATGAGAGGATGACAAATAAAGGAGGTAGAAATAAATAATGATGTTATTGATCTTTTCTTTCTTTCTCTTTTCTATATTTGTTGTTAGCAGTCGGAGTGCTTTATTTATAGAGCAACTCCCTATTATTACATTTTGAAAATTTACACCAAACCTTTTGAAAAATGATCTCCTTCATTTCCAAGTCCACATATCAACATTGCCAATGTTTTCATTCATCTACCAATGTTGCAAATCCAATCTGTGTGAGTATTGAAAAAATCTACCAAAGTTTTCAATATCACTGTGGACATTCATTAACCCACTAGCATTTTGAACACTCACTTATTTTTTCTATTTTCTTTTGTCCAGTTGTGGGCCGGCGCATATTAGTTTGGGCTCTGTCAGCCCATTCATCCCACTTCGAAGGGTGAATCATTCTAACGAATGATCTAATGTATACTTACTTGAACTTGATCCAAATTATATGTGAATATTTTCAATTTGTAATTCAATGATTTAAACTAGACTTGATAATTTTCTACATGATTCGCTAACTTGACATGAATGATATAAATATAACAGGTTTTGAATCAACATATTAACTAATTGGGTAACTCGTTAAGTAGGTTTTGAATTTGACACATTAACTAATTAAAATAACGGATTGAAGCGGGTCTACCTGCAGATAACTCGTTTCAACTCGGTAAAAGTTAGTTTGCTAATTTCTTAGCTACTAAAAGAATCCTACTACAATAGCCATAAGATCCGATACCCTCTCGCTTTATCTCTCTCCCGGACTCCCCGACTCCCAGTACCAACTCGACTCTGTTTGTCTTCTTTCTGCTCACTCGTTCTATTAAGTCTTAGAAAAAATAATTTTTAATATCAATTGCCGGGACAATTCATTTTACGAGTTGAAGATACATTTGGACAATTACTGTTTAGTAAGACAAAATATCCACTCGGTTTATACTCGTGACTCCTTGAGCATTGATCTAAGCATGCCGAAATTTGCAGTTTTAGAGTCTTGTTTTGGTTATTGACTTTTTCTTGATTTCGTTCACATGGTTGTTTCTCGATCAATTTACCAGCCCTTATCTCTTCCAAATGATTCAACAGATAGCTTCGTTAGCAATTCAAAGTCGGAACAGTCTTCTGCTTAATTATTTTCTTCATTTTGCAGGTCATCACCTCAGCAATCCCAGGACTCGTTGGTGGCAAACTTATCGGACTTGTGAACCTTTTGGTACCTGCTGCCTTCACTCGTAAGTCTCAAGCTCAATACAACATCTGCAATATGAAACGATAGTTGGACATGGGGCACCCGGCTAGTGCCATCAAGTTTTGCACCATACAACCCCCTACTGCCAAACTTATTGCGGAGAAATTCAATCTAAGATAAGCAGCAACTTCTTCTCCCTAGAGCTTTTGCCGCCTTTCCTCGAGCGATTTATATCCTATTTTTTCTGTACCATGCCAATTAGGCATCTGTCTGCCCAAAAACGTATAACATTTCTTCCCTTTATAAGTTACGCACTGGAAGACAAATCCTTGAGAGAGTACCATGAAATATTGAGCAAGGGCATCCTATGAGAATAGTATCAAAAGATACACTCTTCAGATTACCATGGAACCTAATCAGAAGATTCGCTTTCAAGAGCTGGAATTCTGTGGAAACGTGCAAAATATCGACATTAGGACGACACAACAACGTTATTTGACGCCGCCAATCTCTTCTGCCTTGCCGAAAACCCCTTACCAGAAAGTGAATCGTACAAGTCACCCAAGTCCATCGAATATAAGCACTTACTTGGCAGGTAAACCTGTAAAAGATAGCAGAGACAGCTTTCTCAGGGTCTGGAAATATAAAGGAATAAAGATACATGCATGCATCGAAACCACAGCTACGAAACCTAGCTTTAAGAGGATCTGCCTAAGCAAATTACATGGACTGTTGGATTTTGATCCAACAGCTACAATTATTATAACTTTTAAAGATGTTTCTATTTATAGCCGTTGGATCAAAATTCAACAGGCCGTGTGATTTGCTTAGGAGGCTCAGCCTGCTGAGCTCAGGAGATGACCCAAATCCGCTTTAAGAAACCCTGAACGTAAAGTTCACAAAACTAACATGGAACAAGTGCTGTAGACATTTCTGACTGAAATGATCAAAATCTCCCGCCAAAGTTTCAATCTCTCACAGTTAGGTACGTCAAGGGGAGAGCAGTGTGTGTTAACATAAATTGGTTAGAAACTAAACGAGACGTCGTGTGTTTTGTTAGCTTGTTTCAAATAAACGACATGTCGTTATGTGTGGAGGTGAAGTGCTCGCTCAGCTAAACCGCTTATCAGTACAGCTGAAACTCTCTCTCTCTCTCTCTCTCTCTCTCTCATCTCTAATGGCGACAACGCTTCGGTGCCCTCAAGGAGCGGTACCGCTTCCGTGGAGGGGAAGAAGGCCCAACGGCAGCAGAGGCCCCCGCCACTGCCAGGTGCCGAACATCCAGGCGTTCCAGCGCAGCGACATAGGAAGCTTCGCGAAGGACGCGTGGCGGAGCGCCAACGACGGATTCGAGCGGTTCCTTTTTGAGGCGAAGAAGACCGCCGAGCGCCTCGACCGTCAGTACGCCCTCTCCCGCCGCTTTGACACAATCGCTCGCTCCGCCGTCGATCGCGCCAGAGAAATCGACAGAGAACTCGAGATTGGAACGCGCTGGCGCGCCTTCAGCGTGGATTTCAGCAGAAATTGGCCTAGGGTTTGTTCTTCTCTCGCTCTTACTCTTATGCTTTCAGTATACATGTACGCGACGTGTTGTTATGTTTGCTGAATTTTCGGGTTTGGCAACCGTGCAGTACAGGAAGCAGCTTTCTGAATTCATGGAGGCCCCATTGGGAAGAAGCTTTGCGGTAAGTGTATTACCTGACTTTCCGAAATTATGCAAAGATTTTGTCTTGTCTTGTAATCATTTCGTGTTCGACTAATTCGCATTTTGTCTCAATTTTTTGAATGATTTTGAAGACAATTTTCTTCCTGTGGTTTGCATTATCCGGATGGCTGTTTCGGATATTGATTTTCGCTACATGGGTTCTGCCGTTTGCTGCTCCTCTTCTCATCGGAGCAGTTGCCAACAGCCTTGTTATTAAGGTATTACTAGTTGCATATGTCTGTGTTAATGTTGGCGATCTGCTAGTCTGCAACTAAATTGAGTGCGTCGAATGGAAATTTTAAATTTGTAACGCAATCATTTGGTTGGCTGTTCGAATGGCTAAGTGTGTGTTGTGCGAAATTTGGACAGGGCGCTTGTCCGGCTTGTAAGAGGCAATTTGTTGGTTACAAGAACCAAGTAATCCGCTGTGGAAGCTGTGGAAACACCGTGTGGCAGCCAAAATCAGACTTCTTCTCAAGAGACGGTAGAAGAGGCCCTTCTTCTTCGTCAAAGTCAGAGCCGGAGATTATCGATGTTGAATTTGAGGAGAAATGAAGAGAAACCCAAGATGTGGGGCAAGCTCGCGTATGGTAAGACTTTTAGATTACATACAGAGGGTAATGAGAAGGCGTACAAGCTTTTACCTTCCATTTATTTCGATATAAAGTCTTGTTCTTTGCTGTCGTGTCTGTAAATTGTGCCTCCTGCATTTTTCTCTACTAGGAAGATTGCGTACTCTCGATTGTTGCATATGTTTCTTGTGAGAATTGTGCAATCATGCCGTTTTGGTGATCACTGATCAGCTATTTTGGTGCTTCTGTTAGCTCTAATCTAGAGAACGGATAAATTGTCGCGTTTTTACAAGAAATCTCCCTTTGTGTCAGAGACTCTAGCTTGTATCATCATCTGAATTTCGTGGAGCATGTCTCGTTTGATGGATCAATCTTAAGAGCAATACAAATGACGTACCCGCAAGAAATGCTGGCATCACACGATGAGTTCGAAGATTTAGAAAACTATAGCTTTTACAGGTTTGCTAAACATCAAGTGTGCATCTGTAAGAGATTAGAAATGCTTGATGTCCAGACCAAAGTTTGGTTTTCATCTTTAAACAAGAGCTTGATATCTCCATTGTTCTTCGGCAAATCCGACCAATACGCGTGTTTTCTGTAGTAAACTTGTTCCCTACTGGAAAGACAATTCGGCAATCTTGATGCTAACCAAGGGAATACAAAAAGATGGTACTGATACTGATATCGCGTTACAAAAATACGGTTGCAGAAGGCCAAAACCACGCAATTGCTCTAAACCTATACAAGAACCATAACCGGTATTCCTACAACAAGACAACATGTTCATACAGCCTCCCTCTGTTTCTTGTATTCTGCCGCAGAAAAGCTTAAGCCCGCAGATGTCCAATAATGATATGATAGCGATTCAATCTCTATTCTTTTTATTCGTTGCAGACAACACCAACACAGGCAGGTCATTCATTTCGGATAGAAACGTACTTGTCACCGAGCGCTGGAGATTTTAAAATTTCATTCATAAGGTTCTTGAATTTAAGGCTGCAATCTCCGCCACTGCAGGATAACAACATATAACAAAAGCATTACAAGGTTCATTCAACGTCATAAGTTCAAAACGAACGCATACGCGAACAGTAAGGAAAGGAGAACAAACATGAATTTCGTGCAGAATGTACATATGGACTAGAATATAAAGCAAGGGCAAAACCTTATACGGTGCAAGGACGCAATAGCTCTCAGAGCGCTGCGAATCATGTCTTCATTGCGGTCTACTTCTTGCTTGACAGCATCTTGCTTTGGCTTAAAGTTGATAGTTTTTTGGAGAGGATCCACCAACGAGTCCAGCACTGAAGGATAGAAATATTTAGATTGCAACAAACTGCAGAACTTCTGAATCTCAGGGAAGAAAAATTGGTGAATTAACTCACCTGCCAGTACCGCAGATGGACACTTGTCCGCAAGCTTTGAGAGGATAAGATGGCAAGGCATCTTGACATCATAATGATCTGGAAAAGCGAATCCAATTCAGTTTAAAAGGTCATAAATTTAATAAGCATCACATGCTAACTATCCATCTTAAAAAATGCATGAACAAAAACGAAACTCACCATCCAGACCAGATCTAAGATGTGGAACAATAAAAGACGAAGGGTTCACTTGATCAAGACAGCTATCCAGCAATGTGTCCACGCATTCAAATGCAGCCTTCCTTAACTCAAGCCCATCATCTACAATGTGCTTAAAAGGGCCGAGATCAACTCTCCTGATCAACTCTTTCTGCATCCAGGATTTTCAAGCGAAATAAGAGACCAACCCATGGCTAACACAAGGTAAAACAAATGAATGAATGATAGATGGTGCTGTTACATATAAGATGGAGCATCCAAGATCGACTGATACAAACCAAATTACAGCAGAAGAAAAGGAACTTGGACTTCTACGCAAGACAGATAATAATGCTAGAAATGTAGTAATACCATGGACGTCCTATATTCTGCAAAGCCAGTCTATCAACCACATAACACAGGGACAAAGTTCAGAACACTCAACCAACCTTGATGACAGTTTGATCATAAAGAAGCGGCAACAACTCTGGCAGGAGCCCCTTGATCAGATTTGGCTTATTGTGGGCAAATGTACTTAAAACCAACACAGCCGCACGCCTCACATGCTGCATTAGGCCATACCAAATCAGTCATCACAAAAGTCTAAAAGTCCAAACCAACCAAGAACATAACAGCTAACACAATACTGAAAACAGCAACAAGCAAGGGAAACGAAAAAACTAAAAGATGGTTTAAAACCCTAGCACTTTATTTAGCATATCAAGCATCAGAAATCTAAGACTTGCCCGGTCATGATCCTTAATAAGCATCAGGAATGATGAGATTTCAGGGTATAAGATCTCATCTATCCTCTCCGGCCTCTCAACTATCGAATATTTAACTGCAATGACAACAGTAGCTCTTGTGAAAGCAGCTGGACTGGATGTTCGTTCCTATAGAAACTTAGGATTAGAAACCATAGATATGAAACGGCAACTCATCAAATATTTTAATCATAAATATTATGCAGAGGGCACAGGGTCATTTGATCAAAATACCTTAAGTGCAGGAACAAGTTTTGCGGGTTCGATAACTGCAATTTTACCAAGACACTCAGCTACTACGTTGCGAACACCCTCTTCCTCGCTTTCACAGTGATTAAAAAGTAAATTAAGTATCTTCTCAACACTGGAATCCGGAAACTCTGCTTTATCTACAGATTGCCTTACTATGACCTGCCAAATGGATGAAAACAAACTTAAATACGACAAAACAGACAGTACAGGTAACAAAATCAGGCTTTAAAGTTCAGAAGAATGCACCTCCTTCAGAGAATGAAGCAAGAGATACTGTTTTTTCTGCTGATTGTCAATCTGGTCCAAAATAAATGGCAAATACTTGAGTAGGTTACCAACAGCAATATTGCCAAGAGCATAGGAGGCGGCAGATTTGATCTCTTCGAAAGGAGATTGAAAGGACTCAATGACAATATTCTCTATATGGTCGTGGGAGCCTAGATCTTTCCGCCTCCCAATCTCCCCGAGACACAGCAAAGCAAGGTGCTGCTTAGCCTATATCATAAGAAAAAGAAAGCAATTATACTGGGCTCAAAAATAATTATAGTAATAAATAATAATAAATCAACTAAATCCCATCATACTACCCCAAACCACTGCCATCTTTACAAGGATCTCCACAATCAATCACCTAAGATGACCGAATACTACTAAATTGTCTAAAATCTTTTGGTTTACCTCAACTTTACAATGACATTTTGCTTACAACCACCAAATCACTGTCATCTGTGAATATAACCTTAACTGAATATATTTCCTCTTTTTTACCGAATAGGACTTACTGAATTTGTAGTGCTGTCATCTTTGAGAATTTCAGTAAGCATTGTCACGGTAGATGAACATTGCTGGGCACCAGCAGCAAGGCAAAGGACGGCCACACATTGAGCTATTGAATACAAAGCTTGCTTTGCAACCCCACCCGACTGAGGAGAGGGCTTAGCACTCAAAAGAAGAGAGTCTAGTAAGGCATTAAAACTAGTATTTGCAGAATACACCAAGGAAGCAAAAAAGTTTTGCAATGCCTGCATCATTCAATGAAGAATGTTTTCAAACATGTGCAAAGTTTCTATATCATAACACCAGATAGAAATTTTTTTACCAAAAGGGCTTGCCCCTGCAGCAATGAACTTCTAATTAACGTTAGTGCTTGTGGAAGAACTTTGCTTCTAACAGCCAAACCAACAACTGGGCTTGACCTGTCCGCCATCAAGGTGCAGCAGAGTTCCAGGGCAAGGGCCGTCATATGCAAGTCCGAATCACTGTAAAGGGGTAACGAAACTAGGGTTCAGAAACTAAATCACCCAGCTAATGATCACACAATATTATAAAAAGAACCAAAAGAAACAAAATGGTGAAGCAGCAACAGAACCTTATCAGTGTAGCAAGTTCTACAATAATTACTTCATAAGCTGCTGCACCAATTTTGTCGCCGTAAGCAACAATTAGGGAATTCAAGGTCCCTAATGTTGCCTGTCTTAAAGGCCGATTAGCCTGATTTCCACAATAGCACAAAATGTTAGAAAAAATTCCATACACCTTTGGGGGGTTCTAAAGCAAATGTCATAAAAATTATTAGTAAAAAGATTATCAATTCAACATCAAATCAAACAAATTACCGCACCTTTCTTAAGAATGCAGTCAACTCTGCAATCACTTGCTCCAACACACAAGATAGATCTATTTTCAGTGGAGAAGCAGCAATGACAGCAAATGCCTGGAAGAAAAGCACTTAAGACCTTAATAACTAAACACAAACATTGAAATATAGGACCCTGTATGTATGTCTCGAGAGAAGAAAGCCTGAAAATGAACATGCACATAATCACAAAAGTAAGCAAACAAATTACCTTCACTGCTGTAAGTCGAGTAATCTCGTTTCCCATTCGATCAACAAGAACAGGAAGGCATACAGGTAATTCAGCATCAAGGTTATCACCAAATGTTGACACGACTAGACCCATGCAAGATATAGCACATTCCTTGACCTCCTGAATAAGAGTAGACATGAGCAAAAATATAGACAAAAACATTTAAGATGAATTATTCGTAAAGTACAATCTAAGAGAAATTATACTGACTTGATCTTGATCTTGGTTTGTCAAGCGTGACATTATGGCATTATATATTGGATGAACATAAGGTTTGAAGTCAAAACCAATTCCCTACATGAAAAAATCCAAATAATATAAGCAGAGTGGTTTGACAATGCATCAAGCCTCCTAAGGGTGCCAACTAATTCACCTCAATATTTGGGCGAACAACATAGACAAGTTCCCCACACACTCTTAATGCCTCAGCTGTGACTTTGTAATAACGCTCCCCCACAGCAGATAAAACAGGACTAGAAAGAGCCTGCAATAATATCAGTTTATAAATGATACTGTCACCATACCTACACAAAGTGCACCTTGTGGTCTATTTCTCACTATCATAATGTATCATATCAGCATATTCATAGCATAGCATAAATGTAAGAATTACTGTACTTACCTTGATGTAAGGATGGAAAACAGAAGGATTGTGTGACGCCAACACCAATCTTGTAAATATAAGAGCTTCAATCTTCAAATTGGAGGTAGAGGACTTATCCTAGAAACAAAATTAACAAGAACAAATATCAGCATTAGAGAAACTTATATTAAACTATTAGGGAGTAAACTTCCAGTTTCAGAGAATAGGATACTTACATTTAATGCTTTTTCAATTCCAGGAATGAGTGAGCAAATGTGATCCGCTAGGCAATCTGGCAAGACCACCACAAGTTCTTTCAAAACGGAAAACGCTCCAACCTGCAAATAGATAAATGTTATATAGTTCACTTCATAATATGCCCATAATGAACCCATCCGAAAGGGGCATCAGAAATTCCTACCTTTGTCTTGATAGATTTCTCACGTAGCTGCCTATTTATAGATCTGATGATCTTTGGCACTTCTTGCTTCAGTAGCCATCTTGGACTGCAAAATATGCCAATAAT